CATATTCCCCTGCTTTTCCAGCAATCATTCTTACCCACTGAGCCATCCCTGTAGCCTATTTTTAAAATGTGGATGGGTCTACTTACACAACACAGTGCATTCAGTCAATTCCTCACTGTGTTATTTCTGACTCCTTGTTCTCAGTATCCTGTAGGAAAATGCCCTTGTCCTGCTGTTGCAGGGAGGGTCCAGGTATGTATCTAAATGTCCAGGACAACGAGTGGTTGTGATGTGCTTGTGCCAGATAGGGTTGAGGACTGCTTGACAATAACTGGGTCAGTATGGCATCTAGGGGGTCTTAGGCTAAGGAGGATCTAAAACTGCAGGAAAGAGAAAAAAGAATGGTATGAGTGCAGTAGAACTCTGGCAGCTCCAGCACCGGGAAGCTGAAATGGAGAAATGCTTTCTCAGGTTTGCTCATCCACCACCAGTCCTTCATCTGCAAAAGATGATGAAAACAATATGGCATCATGAAACAGTTGGAAAATAGAATACAACACTTGCTCACCAATAGACTACCTTATATATAACTGTTTTACTGTTTCTTTATTTTGTTGGTGTTGGTAGTGATGTGATTTGTGTGTATGCATAGCCCATTCTGGTCTTGTACATGTGATTTTCCTGTCCCAGTGTGTTTTGAGTACTGGAATTTCAGGGATGTGCCTTCACATCTATATCTATGGTTTCGGTTTTATTTTTTTCCATCTGTGCCCCTCAAAGATGGCTATGTCCTAGTTCTTGAAAGCAGAGAAAGTTTCATGAAAATGTGAAAATTAAGGTTGTAGTTGGATCTAAGCTTTCTTACCCCACTGGGTCATCTGAGGGAGCCAATGCTGGATTACCAGGGTGTGTCACGTTAATGCTATGTTGCAAATACCTGGCAAAAGAAACTTAAAGATTTGTTTTCAGTCACAGTTTGAGGATAAGGTCCATCTTTGTTGGGGAAGGCATGGTGGCAAGAGCTCGAGGTAGCAGTTCACCTGACATCCAATAGCCAGGAAGCAGAGAGGGAGATGAATGCCAGTGCTAGGTTCACTTTCTCCTTTTCATTCAGTCGGTGACCCCAGCTCTTGGGATGGTGACATCCATAATCATGGTGTGTCTTTCTATTTCAATTAACTCAATTTAGAAAATCTCACACAAACATGCCCAGAGATTTGTCTACTTGGCAATTTCGGATTCTGTCAAATTAGCCATCACACGTACACAGAAGGGTCCTTAAAAGTGAAAGGGGGCAAAGGGGCAAGAAATGCGAAAGGAGAAGGTGACTTTGGGGTGAGGTCAATTTAGGAGTCCTCCAGAAGTTGCTGTAGGAAAGCGCCAACAACCAAGGAGTGTGGGCTCCCCCTAGAGGTCGAGAAGGGCAAGGAAACTCATTTTAGTGTCTCCAAAGGTGTGCCTTGATTTGAACCCATTGAGACTCCATTGAGCTTGCAACCTCTAGAATTGTAAGATAATAAATACATTTGAGCCGGGCGTTGGTGGCACATGCCTTTAATCCCAGCACTCGGGAGGCAGAGACAGGTGGATCTCTGTAAGTTCGAGGCCAGCCTGGTCTCCAGAGTGAGTGCCAGGATAGGCTCAAAAGCTACACAGAGAAACCCTGTATTGAAAAACAAAACAACAAAACAAAACAAAACAACAACAAAAACCATTTGTATTATTTTAATCCCTAGCACACGAATGGACTTTGGGAGCCCATTCCACATAGAGGGATACTCTCTCAGCCTAGACACATGGGACAGAGCCTAGGCCCTGGTCCAAATGATATGACAGACATTGACGATGCCCCATGGAAGACCTCACCCTCCCTGGGGAGCAGAAAAGGGATGGGATAGAAGGCTGGTGGGGGGCAGGGTAGGAGGGGAGGAAGAGGGAAGTGGGATTGACATATAAAACAAGCTTGTTTCTAATTTAAATAAAAATCTGAGAAAAACGAAGTTAAGTTTGTGGTAATTTGTTACATCAGCAATAGGAAACCAATGCACATTATTTTTCACAGTTATAGCATACCTTATACCATTTTTATGATCCTGTAGTTTTCATAATCATTTTCCATAATTATTTGGCCACAAGGGACCATATTAACCTATAGAGCTGAAGTGCTGGTTTTGCCTTAATTACACCTACTAAGCATGAGCATACCTTTCTGCCTTTATTTTTACATAAATTTGATTATTTCCAGAGACAAGCTATCAGAAGTGAAATTTGGGCTTTGAATTTCTTCCACTGCTTTTTCTATATTCATCTCAAGGAAGAATGTTCAGCCCTCCAAAATTGGACTTGATGTACCACATAAGGTGAGAATGTACTTTTTAAAAAGATAGTTTGTTTCTTAACAACATATGCTGAATGACCTTTCCCCCTTTTCTGTTTCTTTCCTTATTAAATATTCAGTTTTGTACAAAACAAGCTCATTTTTCCAGCTTCCAATGCTCTTCCATTAATTGATTTTTGTCTGTTCTTGAGCCAGCAAGAGTTTTTTGAATTCCTGCAAGAT